ATGGACGGTGACTGCTACTCATATAGTAAAAATATGAATACTTCAGTGTTAACATATTTTGAGTAAGTTGCTTTTTATTGTTTTTAACCTGCGTGTTATTCTTCCTTAGGGTCCGCAGTGCTGCTCTGACCTGGCTGTATCGTTTCATTATATCGAAGCAGAGCTGATGTACGTGATGGAGTACTACACCTACCACCTAAGGGCGTATGGTTATATTCCACGCTACCAGCCCTCTTTACGTCATGGTTTGAATGTCAGCCCACACTCGCAGACTGCTGTAACAGCGGGACTTAAAGCAGTTCAGGGGGTGAAGGACGGAAAGAATCGCACGACTGTTGCCTTTTCTCTCAGTGGAAACCAAACCAAAGAGGATACGGTGACAGAGGAAAAGGAGACGGAGAATTTAAACTCCCATCTCACTGTGAACAGGACTGCAGTTGAATAAAACGCTGTATTGTATTAGCTGTGTTGTGTTTTAGATGATGCTGAATGTGTTTTAACTGCAGTGATCGCCATCAGAAACTACATCAGGAGCACCTGTGGCTACTTTCCTTCTGTTAGTCAAGAAGAACTGTGGTGAAAAGTATGACTTCTTCTTCACCCTTTTACTGCGCACTAACAAGTCATGACAACATGAGTGAGTTGTTAAAGATAAGAGATGTTTGAGTGGAGGCTACATTTGTCTCAGCTGTGTTCAACCAACATCTGGTTTAGCCTTAATTATATTTGACATCATCAGTGTTTGAATTTATTGTCACAGCCAATGTGCTTGGAGTTATGCAGGAAAAAGCAATAGATGTATAACATTTATTATTAATTGTGAGTAATTAAGTAATTTGGCATAAAATGCTTCAAGTTAATAAATTAATTTTGTTTAAATTTAATTTGTAACTCAAGCTAATTAACAGGCTTTAAAACCAGAGCCAGGATGTTTGATATGTTTGTTTCAGAAATGCAAAATAAAGTGTTTTCTTTTCACCTTTCAGAGTATATTTGAAACCCCCCGTTGAACCGTTTGAGCACCTGATTTTATTTAACCCAACACTGTGACTGAACATTATTGTCTCAACATGAGACAACAGCTTGAAGAATCACTTAAACAACAAGGGGAAATGCACCAACATTTAAATGAATGAATTATGTATAAAAATTACATTTATTCTGAACTTTAAGAAAAAGAATGACATGATAAAGAAATAGAATTTATTACTTCTAATTATGCTTTGTCTCCAAATAAAACCGTACATTATGCTTGGTACATTGTCACTTTCATAAGCCGGGTACAGTGGGAATCATGTGTTTTTTTTCGTTTCCATCAGACATTTGGTTTGCTGTTGATGTTCTCGGTGATATTCTGTCATTGTAGCCAAATGAAAGTAACTCTCAGTGTCTACAGTCCCTGAAGTAACCTGCAGGAAAAAAAACAAAACACATACATGGACATAAGTACCCTAAAAATCCACTGTGAGAACTACAAGTAGAGATTTACTTTAAGAAATGAAAAGCATGCAGAAGGTGTGCATAGACCAGTCCCTTTTAAAACACCACAAATCTTCCGAAGTTCTATGTCTGAAATCGGTTTTATCCTTAATTATGCAGGATGATCGTTAACTTATTTTTTCTAAACAGCTGACATTTGAAGAAGCACTCACCTCAGCCTGCACTTGTTGAGAAAAATGCCTCTCCTCTCTGGAGATTCTCTCCTCCAGGCACCATTATCTGTAACATATACACAGAAAACATGAATATGAAAGGCGACAAAGCTAAAAGGACATGGATATTAGACACTTGTCACACACTCACCAGTCTCTGCGTTTCTCCGTCCCATAAGTCCAATAAAAATGTCATCCATCTCCCCTT